TTTTGGTTTAATATTATAAATTTTATAAAGATAATATTTAAATATTCTGTTAGAATTTAATGATTATCCTACTTATATTTTAGATTATTTATATTTAAAATGAGATGTTTATGTTGTCTTTGATTATGTTTATCTACAGTTAATTACACAAATTCATATAATAAGTTGTACTTACGCATAATCTAGCTACTTGCAATATTGAGTTTTAAGTAATATGCATTAATAAACAATATTTTACGCATAAAAAATGGTTTTTAAGAGTGTTTGTCAAATTCTTTATAATATAGTATATATATATATATATATATATATAGAGAGAGAGAGAGAGAGAGAGATAGATAGATAGATAGATATAATTAAATTTATTGAATTAATTAGTTATATTAATTTTATTGCTCTACTGTTTGATTTTATTTGATAAATCTATTTTTTGATTATCAATAGAATATAATAATTAACGTTTTTATTATTATGTACTAGAAGAATACTTGTGTAATATATCAAAATATTTCGGTTTCAGTATTTCGTTTTATTATTTATTTATGTCGATATAACATGATTTTATTTGATTTTGTAAAAACAATAATATTTTATTTTGAATAAAATATAAATTTAAAAATATTATAAAATAGATTTAAATCTTATCCTTCACTGTCTTTCTCTACGTATAAAATACACCTTTTACAAACACCGTGACTACCTACTTATGTAATACGTCTTCAAAGAAATTATCAGCATTCGAGTGGCACGTGTCAAACTCTTATTTGTCGGACATTTCCAAAGGACACACGTGTAACTTCACAAAACACGTGTAAGCTTCCTGCCATATTTTTATATCCGTTTGTCATAATGATAAATCCTCGATCGCCTCTTCTTTTCCGATTTAAGAACGCAACCAGCAGAGATATGTTCAGCGCTATTAAATCCCTTTCGATTCAAAAAAAACCACCAGTTTCCACTCTCTTGGCCACCTCTAATACCTTCGCCGGAAAAGCAACTCCGGTCATCGGAACTGTGAGATTCCAACGGGCATCCGCCGGATCTGAAGAACCAGATAACATGGAGAAGAATCAACAAGCTAAGGAACCAGAAAAAAGGGGGTACGAGTCACGTTAAATGCTTTGGATCTCTTAATCTCATGCCGTAATTAATTAATTGATGTGTTTTTGGGAGGATTTAGGGATGTGATGTCACATTCGTTTGGGGAAGGATACGCGACGAGATCAGATGAAGAAGGATTCGGAGGAATCTACGGGAGGAACCAGTCGCTTTCTCATGAAGACGAAGAGAAGGTCGTTCATGGCAATTCTCCTGGTAAATTTGTAACTCAATTTGAATCACGATTTGATGATGATTTCTTATTTGTATACGTTACGTGTGCTGATTACTTCGATCTCGATTCTGGATATGATGAATTGAAGATTACGATAAGACGCAAGGAAGCGAGGTGAAGGAGAAGGAAAGGAGTCGACACCAGACCCAAGCCAACTCTTGATTCAGGCGGTACAGTACAGACGACATAGGGTTTAGGGTTTATGGCTTAAATGAATCAGAAGCAACGATGTTAGTGGGTTTGGAAGTTTGTGATCTGTTACGTTTCGAAGACTACTGTTTTACTTGATGTTTGTAATCGCTTTGTTTCTTTAGTTGCTTCAACAACGTATTTCGTTGGGCCATTTTTCGATGAAAACCGAAGCAAACTCCGATCTTTCTTGGGTTGGTTAACCAGGTGAAGAAACGTTGGGTTTCAGTGCAAGTTTATGATCTCAGCTGTAAACCGAGAAGCTGAATATTGTGAAGTAATATTTGGGTTAAGATCGTTTAAACTCATGTTTTGTTAATATGTTTACAAAATTGTGAAGTAATATAAAGTTTGATGATATAAACTTTTAATAAGTTGTAAATAACTACAATTTACTTGTAATCTTAAATTTTAAGTAAGACACATCGATAAACAATATTTTATGTATAAAAAATAGTTTTTTAAAATGTCGAATGTTTTATAATATACTAGAAGCGTATTCGCGCAATGCAGCGAGATACATCATGATTTTAATATTTCATTTTATTATTTATCTCAGTCGATGTTA